GTCTCCGTTGCTACTGAAGCAACGTGAAGTTTTAATATTATTCATTACGATCACGTCCCGAAATTTTGTTTAATTGCCACTGCGGCACTACGTTGTATACTTACTGTTCTGTCATTGCGACACATATTATAGTGTTGTTATTACCCTTACAATAAACAACAACCATTGCCAGCATTTACGTGAGTCATTTTGTATTTGTGTGTATGTGTATAATATCATCGTGTACTTGGCTACACTAACTCGCCATTGAAGACAACGTCGGACGGTGCTCTTCAGTAACCCGAGATTGGGATTGGTGCCGTCGTTCATTGCGTAAGACCGCCAGCACCCGACGTGGTGTGTGAGAGGCCGCCAAGGGCTTCAAGTCCATTCACCATCGTTCATCATTTACTGCAGTCGTCATTCACATTGTCATCATCATCGTAGATTTAAATATAGATTTAAAGTATTTGGCCGATTTATGTGAGCTTGGTGGTCATTGCACCAAACCGATTCCGACCACCAAGACATCCCCCCTTATAACTAAACTCATCTTCCTCATTCCCGTGCATAAACTCAACTTCCTTGGTCCTGAAATTTAAGTATCTTTTGTCCTCATCATCGTCGTCGGTGTAGTCATAATTGGTTGCCTACCTCGCCAAAATAAGGCAGTGCACGTTAAGTGGCCTATACCAAACATATCAGGCGTCGGAGGTGATCTCACAAAATACATTTACATTTATCATTCTCTCCGTTCATCGTAATAAGCCCGAGTGCAACATTGGTAGCAGAGCGTGGTTAGAAAGCTATTTTTCTAATCTTATTTAATTTCAACTATCTATCATCGGTGGTACCGTATAGTTAAAACTACTATGGCGCCTTCAGAGTTGGCTGAATGTATTAGGAAACGCGGTGTAGCAAAAGGTAAACTAACTCGATTCGGATCATTCTTCGACACATTCCAAAGGAATGCAAGGCGCAACTACACTGAATTGAAATTACGGCTAGACAAACTGGAATCATTGTTTGACGAATTCGACATTATTCAAACTGAGATCGAAGGTTTGGATGAGTCTGAATTACAGCAAGAAGAACGCATCAAATTTGAAAATGAATATTTTTCCATACAAGCGGCGGCGGTGACTGAGTTATCATCACAAGAAATAGAATCCCCTGATCAATCATTTAATCGAAGTCATCGACAGGGTGTGGAAGCTCATCTTAAGTTGCCGAGAATCAACCTTCCTGAATTTGACGGAGAATATGAAAACTGGCAGTGTTATCGGGATACTTTCAGTACCATGATTCACAACGCTCGAATACCTGCAGTAGAAAAATTTCAATATCTCCGGTTATCTTTGAAAGGGCTAGCGGCGCAGCTAATCGAAAGTTTGGAGGTAACGGAGGGGAATTATTTAGTTGCATGGAACTTAATTCAAGAGCGATTTGAAAATAAGCGACTTATAGTACTTATTTCCAAATTATTTGCAGTAAACAAGTTAGAAAAGGAATCAGCCTCTGAAACGAGAAGTTTCTTCGACACCTTTAGTCGACACCTGGGGGCTTTAAAGGCTATCGGAGAACCAGTAGATGAATGGAGTACGCTATTAGTACACATAGCATCTTCCAAACTCGATGATAAATCTCTCATGGAATGGGAAACTTCACGAAAAGACACAAGTGTACCAACGTGGAACGAGTTCACTACGTTTTTAAATCATCGGTGTCAAACGCTCGCAGCAATTGAAGTTTCCAAGGGACAGAGGCAAAACATGTGTCAAAACCCATCAATACCAGTGCGACGGTCATTCACCACGGTTCAACAAAGGTCCATTACTTCAGAGTCAAAATGTCCCATGTGCAAATTAGTACACGCCCTTTATCAATGTCCAAAATTTTTAGCTTTAAGAACGCCAGAGAGAGTAAAATTTGCCAGAACAGTAAACGTTTGTGTTAACTGTTTACGTGGTGGTCATCGAGCATCAGCTTGTCGTAGTGCGGGTTGTCAAAAATGTAACAAACGACACAACAGCAAACTACATCTTGAAGACGAGGAAAGAGAAGAAGCATTTGCGAACAGTGTATTAATTGACGAAGAAACTGGAAATAGTTCTGATATCCAGGAAAGCATAGTGGATAGCGAAGACGGCCAAGTAGCGTTAAAGGCACAAATAATAGAAAGGAGAAAACCCCTCGGTGAAGTAACAATGTTATCAACGGCTTTAGTTATCATTACCGATGTGCGTGGTAAGGGAATTATGGCAAGAGTTTTATTGGATTCTGGTTCCCAAGTGAATCTTATGACCGCCAGACTGGCAATAAAACTAGGTTATCCAATAACTGAGACAACTACAACGGTAATTGGAGTATCAGGTATGTCATGTAAAGCAATTGAACAAGTCAGTGCTACTGTAAACTCGAGAATTAACGCATATTCAACAGATTTAAGATTTTTGGTATTACAGAATATCGCGAACACCTTGCAGTCAGTACAACCAACAAACGAAGTCATGAACACAATTAATCTTGGTGAATGTGCTGATCCAGACTTTAGTTCTACAAAAAAAATTGATATAATACTTGGCTCCGAAATATTCTATGAGCTATTATGTATTGGTCAAATAAAACCAGCAGGCACTCGCGCAATTTGGCAAAAAACTGTATTCGGCTGGGTTCTATCAGGACGGGTACAGAGTGACCAAAGTAATCCTCAAACTTCTTGTATGACAACAATGGTGAGTAGCGATAATTCAATTCAGAACGAAGTACAGAAGTTTTGGGAGCTCGAAGAAGTCGTCGAACCACAGGAACGAAGAAAATACAGTATTGAAGAATGTAAATGTGAAACCCATTTTTTGAAGACGTGTTCAAGAGAAGCCGATGGTAGATTTACGTTAAAACTACCATTCCGTAACAACATGCAGCAATTATTGGGTGAATCACGTTCCATGGCAACGAAGAGATTTCATCAGATGGAACGTAAATTAAATGAAAATCCAGAGCTTAAGCTAGAATATGTCAGGTTTATGCGTGAATATCAAAATCTTGGTCACATGACCCTGTCGACTAAGACGAATATCCAGTCAACAGAACATCCACAAGTATTCTTACCACATCACCCAATCATCCGAAATGAGAGCTCTACCACAAAAATTCGAGTTGTTTTTGACGCTTCTGCAAAAACTTCCACCAACATATCACTCAATGAAACCTTAATGGTTGGCCCAACTATTCAAGATGACCTCCGTAGAATTTTAATGAGATTCCGAATACATCAGGTAGTTCTTACCGCTGATATCGAAAAAATGTACAGGCAAATCAAGGTTAGTGAAAACTGTAAGTCATATCAACAAATTCTTTGGCGGGAAACCCCAAACGATCCTTTGGAAGCATATCGTTTAAACACAGTTACTTATGGGACATCATCCGCACCTTTTATGGCCATCAGAACATTATATCTCTTAGCAGACTGCGAAAATTATTATCTTTCAAACATTCTGGAAAATTGCTTTTAATACCATTCAATATACCAAAGTGGTAATATGTTCCAGGTTCAACAGTATCAAAATTATAAGGATCAACAGTTTTTGATTGCAAAATAGTCCTTGAATCTTTTGGTAAATCCTTAAAACATTTATGTTGTTTTAATACAACTAATAGTTTATTTAATGCATTTTGTGGAATATTAAAATCAACAGCCCACTTAGCAATTAATGTACGGAAAAGAAAAGTTTGATCGTACGTTTCATTTATTAAATAATCTTCATCTTGTTCAGATTCAGACGAAGATGAAGTAAATATTACACTTGATTTTTCATTTAAAAACTCAAAAACATCTTGATTTCTTACTAATTCTTGAGGATTCTGATTGGTAGAAGATTTGTCAATTGTTGCATTTAGTGGTTGAAAGCCTGATTGATTGTTGGTTTGAAAAGAAAAATTGCTATTTATTGTAGTTGGATCATAATTTGAATCACCCATAACAATATAATTATCCCTTTCTAATTCTTCTTGAATTCGCCTTCGTTTTGATCGAGCACTTAGATGAGATTTTTTTTCAAAATCCATCTTACAAAATCTAATAAAAATTAAAGCAGTAGGTAGTTCAGAGGGTAGTTCCCATAAAACCGTAGGATATATTGTTATTATACAAAGATTTAAATAATAATTTTTAATTCAATTTTTTAATAATAATTTAATAATTTGTGTCCAAGTAGGTATATAATTATAGTATGAATACAGAAATATAAATAGTTAAAATTGATAGAATTTATGATAGATATTAAGTTTTAAACAAATGTTTAAAAATTATGTTTAAAATAATATTATTGGGATAGGTAAATGTACTATATGCACCTAGGTTTATTGCAATGGGTATAACTTTCACGATTTTAATATTTAATATTATGTAGTAGGTACATTAAGGTATTATATATACGATATACCTGATGTCCTAATGGGCTTACACCCAATTGTCCTAATGTAAGTAGATTTAATAATATTTCCCTATGTTATACTTCATGAAAGATTATAATACTAGATGCATATATATACTATATAGTATGTTTGAATATTTAGTTGGATAATAGGTACCTACCTACATATAATAGAATAAGTAAGACAATTTTTTTATTTCAAAATGTAAAACAAAATAAAAATAAATCCTAGTTATACCTAGTATAAATATTACCTAAAATTATACTTAGGTACATAATAATAGTAGGTACCAACTAACTTTTTAGATACAAATCAATGACAAATAATTTTACACTAATTTCAAACAAGAAATGCATTAAGAGGATGTCAGCACACTATTTGTTTTCTCTCTCTTTCCCACTCGCAACATAAACAAAACACATTTACACAAAATCGTTTTTTCTATGTTTTTAAGTAATCTTAGAATAAAAACACACATTACAAAAAAAGATAGAGAATAATAATTTTGAGGGAATGACATATGGATTTGTCTAAATATTGTCTCAAAACAATTAAAACATAATTTAAATTTACAACATTTTTTTGTTTATTTTGAAAGTCGAATGCAAAATCAAATAGCAATAAAATTTAATATCGTTATGTCATTCCCTCAAAAATATTATTCTTTATCTTTTTTATTATGGGTGATTTTACTCTAAAATTACTTTAAAACATAGAAAAAACAATTCTGTGTAAATGTGTTTTGTATAATATGTTGTGCCTTGTGCGTGGGCCAGAGGGATAAAACAAATAGTGCGCTGACATCATCTGAACAGTCTCTTACCCTCAAGCCACTAAATATTATTAACAATCAGATAAACAATTCAAAAAACTATAATTATAACGTCATATAGTGTTATGTTGTGTAAGATCAGTTTATGAGCCTAACTATTGTATAAAAACAAAATAAAACATTAAAAAATTAAAGATCATCATTACCTACCTAGGTATTTACTGTTTCATTATGTAGTGTTATACATTAATATGACAACTAAAATGTTAGTCAAAATAAATACAATTGATAATTTATTAAAAGAAAACTTTATCCTAATGTATAATTATACACATTAAAACTAAAATAAGTATGTTGTACGTGCAATATATTTTAAAAGATTACTTAAACATTACCTACTCATGGCCCATGGGTAGGAATATATTAATTGAGAAATGTATAATTAATAACTATTAGGTATAGCCGTATAGGTAATAAAACAATTTAAATAAATAGAAATCAATATTTATAAAGATTAATATATTATTTTACTACCTATACTATACTAAATTATAATATACAATGTATACTATTCGCACCTACCTAGTTACAACTTACAATTGTAAATAAACAATCTCAAAAAATATCAAAATTAAAAATTGTATGTATACCAACGTTAATATTACTTACCTATAAAAATAAAACAGTCGTCTGGATACACTTATGTAGTTTTTCGCAATATAATATAATTATTTCACCAAAGTAAAATGTAATGGGCACAAAAGTGACAAAACTGTAAAAACTAAAATGATTAGACATTTACCAGCATACGACACGGAGACACGGAATATTCACGAGTTGCACCGTCGCGTCGCGGACTCGCAGCTACAGTATGATAAGTATGTATTACGTAATAAGATGTTTATAATCTATAGAAAAATAGCAGCGGGAAGATGTGTATGTATATTTTATTGTGTCTGCGCACGATACACGGACGGTTATTACTGGGAAAATCCCGAATCGGGGTAAATCCATTCGTTATCACCATGTTCACCATCGTCCGATCGTCGTATTTCTAATTTTAAATCAAAGCGGAGAATAATTTTACACAAATAATTGTCCTATTACAATTTACAGATAATTATTATATTTTAGTCGGTGACTGACGACTTTTATTATGATGATACGTATATATCTTATATAAAAATGGTTACTATTGTTATATTTTAATAGTGTTTAACACTTTTTAGTTATTACCAACTATGCGATTTTATTAGCGTACACGTTTACTACACAAAGCACAATCACATTATGTATAATTCTATAATCCTTTTTGGTACGATGCAGTTAAAAGTCGCGGCAGATATCATCATCATTATCCATTTTAATTATTCAATATAAAAATTAAAACAATCGTGAAAACGCCCAAAAACATGATAATTTCGTACATATAGTGCGGACCATGGACGGAGTTAATATAATATAAAAATAATATACTATGAATACTATTCTATTATTTCATTTTTAATATTATATTATTCAGATATTAAAAGTATAAATTAAACAATCCATTTTTGATAACATAATGATAATATATTCAGAATATTATTTAAACAATCCGTATTTTATGACATAATAATATTATTATCAGAATATTATTTTATTATTTCATTTGTGATGTCATATAATTAATACATTCATAATATAATTTAAACAATCCGTTTTTAATAACATATTAATAATATAATGAGAATATTATTTTATTATTTCATTTGTAATGTCATATTAATAATATATTCATAATATTATTTAATGAAGGATTATTTCATGTTATATTAATATTTTTCTTATAATATAACAATTTTAATGAAAATATAATATTAATAAAATATTATCATTCCAAAAATGCTATCTGGG